TTTTTTATATTAAGTTATATTTTTTTGAGGTAGAAGTTATAACCGAAAAAATCATGGAAGTGACAATTTCTAAAGATAAAGTTATTACTTTTTGAGGCCAAATTATATATATATATATAATTCTTCATGATTCTATATTTACTATATTTACCTCAAGATTCTTGTCTTTTGGATTTATATTTCTTGGACTTAAATTCTTCATGTAACCTATCAGAATTGATTATGAGAAGTCCATTTGTTCTACTACTTGTTGGTGACTATTTATTTACTATGTTACTTTCCGTGTCAGTCATCGAGGGAGAAGGTAAGGAGTTTTTGTCTTCTTCTTCTTGAAATTTTGAGTGAGTGGGGCAGAGCCAAATTTTAATCATAAAGGGGTTCAAATAGAAAAAATTACAAAACAAATATTTTTTTAATTAACTGGATCATTCAACTTATTATCTCGAGTGTCCGAGATTAAATGGTATAGAATTTATCACAATTAACTTTCATATGATTGTCAAAATTAATTTGTGAAATATGTTCACTTATTCTGTCATTTATAACATGGTAATGACAACGAAAAAATTATACCAATAAAGATTAATTTAGCATGATCCCATTGTAAAACCTAATGCCAGTCATACTTGTAATCCGATTTCGTAATAAATTTAGATCTTTTCAATTTTATTGTGTCATATCGTAATCATCCAAGCATGTGTTTTTGTGTGCAAAAGCGACACTCTTCCATTAATTAATATTACGTATTTAGTTGTTAACTATTATGGAATTGAGCTTTTTAATATCGTAAATGAAGTACCTTATGAATTTAAATTTTTGAAAACTTAGAAGGTGAAATAAGCATTTTGAAAACCTAGAAGGAAATAACAGATATTTTTCAAAAGTCATGGCCCCTTAGGCCACACTTTAGCTCTGTCACTGCAACCAAGTTTTATTTTAACCATCACCTAACTATAAAAGAAAATTAAGACACTTTGAATATTGATTGAGTAGTGTTGTGTTACATTAAAATCACGTTAGTTCGGTATCGTGGGGTCTCATTCCATGTTGTTCTTGAATTTGAATAATTTTTAGATAACACATAAAACAGATTGTGCAAAACTTAAGACCACTTCTCTCTCCTTCTCTCTCTATATCTCTCTCAATAAACTTAACTATTCACATGCTCCCATAAATTAAAAACATATTTGATCTCCATCTTGGCAAAATCAAATCAAAACCAATTTCATACAAAAAATAATACGATATTAAATAAATGATCAAAAACTAAAAATCAATTACAAAAAAAAATTATTCTTACAATACCAATTTTTTTTAGAGGATACTTGTATTAGCAATTAAATGGGTTATGAATTTATCATATCAAAATAAAAAAATTCATATGTAACACAAATCAATCATATTATGATAATATGTCGTGTCAAAAATAATGAATCAAAAGATTTGTGCTGCATTTGGCTGCCAAAAAAGCCGAACAAAACGTTTGGAACCTTACAACAAATTGAGATTGGCTTACGATTACTGGGATATTCGTTGTTCTCTCCTCTTGTCCTTTCATGTTGTTTCCTTCAGTTATTGACATAGAACCAGCGAATTCTAATTCCTAGTTCTTTCAGTAATTATCTAGAAGTATTGTGAAGACTTGCAGTTTCTTTCTGGATTAAGGATTAACACAAGGCCTGGTCTAGCCATTTTTTTGACTAAATACATAGTAAGAGTATTAAAATTTTTTGGGGAAGAGATAAAAGAAAGCTAAGTATTGACCAATTATAGCCACTTCATCTTCCTCTAGTTGGCGGTATGTTTGGTTCAAGGAGAAAAGGATGGTATTTGACTAATTTCATCCCACTGTCGGGGCGGAGACGGTAGCCACAGTTGGTTTAGGGTGGGCACATCGGGGTGTCAATCGTATCATGTCGTATCATTTTCATATCGTGTCATTTTTGGTCATATCATTTTCGATACGTGTCGAAATAAAAATTATTTAATTTGAGAACAACAAATATAATACGATTTAAAAAATTATAAAATTCTTATTTTTTATCTACAATACTTGTTAAATAATTATTTTCTATCTACAGTACTCATTAATCATGTTATTCGTGCCGATCCCTAATTTGACTCATTTATTACTCGTGTCAATTAATCATGTTATTTTCGGGTTCGTGTTAGATTCAGTTCGAGTCGGGTTCATGTTAACGGAAAAAATTGACACCCCTCACATGCCCCCCTCATTTTTATTTTTTTTGCTTCATATTAATCATGTATTTTTTGAAATAAAATTTAGATAGATTTAATTATGTCTACCATAATATTGTGTTCTAATGATATTTATTTGAATAAATTCTTACCTGTATGATTGTTAACTTTTTAAACAACGTTATTAAAATCTAATGTAAGGACCTAATATATTTCGATATGTCTTAATATTTAATAAACTCTATAGTTTATCCAATGGTCACAAACCATTGGACGTCTATCAATTAAATCTCAAATTAAGTACAACTAATATAATTGTTAATTTTTAGACATGTTCAAATATGTTTTGAACATATTGATGTTATTTTAAAATTTTTTAAAATTATAAGGTTATTTCGTTATTCTATAAAAATGTATATCGTTATGTAATAAACTATAGGATCATAAATGAAAGATTGTTACCGCGATTTTGTATATAAAAAAAATATTGTTGATAAAATTAATTTGTAACTCTTTCAAATAATAAAAACATACCGGATCAATTGTAAATAATAATAATTAGTCGCATTCTCGTTAAGAAATTTTAATTATTATTTTCTTGTTCATGTTATATATATATATATATATTATTTTTTAATCTTCTATGTTTAAAAAGTATTAAATATAATTTTAATAAATATAAATTTATGAACTTTTATGGTGTATTAAAAAAAAATTAAACCATGCTAATTTGTCCAGCATAAAATTTTTTTCTTACTCCGCCCCTGCCCACTGCCTAATTATCCTGTGTTAGGATGTTACATCCGGACCCCATTTAGGATAAGTCTTTCTCATAGAGGTGGGACACGTTTTGGGGGATAAGGGGATCCGAAGAGGTAGCTTGCAGATAATAATAACAATAATAATAATTTACCCTTCAAGAAAGGTTAGCAAACAATTTGACCAAATCGAATATGAGTACTCCATCCATTTAATCCGATGCCAAATCAAACGCAGGATTAAAAATTTAAGTCGGACAACCGCATACATTCCAGAGCCCCAAATTTGATTGAGCTCCATACATAGAATTGGAACGTATTGATAAATCCTATTCTCTTTTATTTCCGAATCAAACATACACTTAGCTTCTTGTTTTGAATTCCGCCCCTTTAGGTGCTTTAATTATACTCCAACAGGCTCCATCTCATTCATGTATGAGCAGAATTAGTTGTAGGACAGCATGGCCTACATCAAAATTTTCTTATCCTTTACGGAGAACTGTGGTAGCTTGGCAACACTTGTCAGACACAATTTATACCGTACCATTGTTACCACCATTTTCATCAAATATTTAGCAAATACTAATGCACTAAATAAAAAAAAAAATAGAAACCGTGTTACTTTATTCAACTTTTTAGAATTTTTTGTATAATTATGGGGAGTCATTTACAATTTTTGGGATTTTTGCAATCGATCACAAATATTTGTGATTGACCCTAATAATTTTAGGATGATCCTAAATTTGTTAAGACCCATTGCAAACCTCATAAAATTGTTAGGAACCATTGCAAACTAAAAATTATAACTTGATCATAATAATTGTAAGATAGCCCCAAAAAGTTATAATTTTTTAGGATTGATTCTATTTTTTTTCTTTTACTTGTAACCAGACCATAAAAACTTAGATGGTAAACGACAAAAATTATAAACTTCAGTATCATAGCTCCTTCACTACCAAAGTCAAATCCAAATATTTTTATTGCTATATGTCTATAGTATCCAAAAAATATGGGTACCATACTTAAGTTAATTGAGTTAATTAATTTTGATTTAAACAATTTGTAGTCATTGATTGTAAATATAATAAAATATTTAAAAATTACAAAAATTAGGAAACTTTACATATGTCAAAGTTTTATTAGATAAAAAGTAGATCTAAAAGTACCAAAAAATTATCCAAGCAGACCTTATTATATTCAGTAATATTATGTTTACCAAATTTTTTATCAAATTTTATTATATTATTGTAAGTATTTGCCGTTCTAAGTGGCAGAAGTCATTTTCAAATTCAATTTGTTTAGAAAATTCATCAGGTTGAAGTTCAAGGCACAATGGGGCCAGCCTATGTTTTTTTTGGCGGGCCAGCTTATCTCATTCCTTGACAGAATCAAATAGGTCTTTGCTTCTAATGGTCGCATGAAGTTCATTTGTGATTGCAACCGTTCAAAGGTGACATTCAACATTATCATGTTATGTTAGCAGTAAAAAGGAATCACAATAGTTGTTTTGATTTTTGATATTAAGGGATTATCTAAATCATACATTTTTTAAACTCATGAATGCAATGCAAATCTCGAATAGACACGATCATTTCCTAAACAAATGAATCGGTTAAACTTGTGAGTTTTGAGATCAGGGACATTCGATGATATACGATTCAATAGTTATATGTATTTCAATCAAGTCAATCAAGCCAAATTTACTAAAATCCATTCAACTAAAAATAGGCTTTTTTCTAAAATCAAATATAACAAAGACCTTTACAAATTGTAGACTTTCAAGAAACAATTAACAAACTTCCCCTATACTTAATTTCCTCTATTACATACAAACACCATTAGCTCACCCTATAATTCTACAAGCCATCAATATATGCAAACTAAACAATATGACACCCTTTCCCCTCACACTTTTCTTCCCATAGGACATTGCTTTTATTAAGCCTTCATTATTGTGGGCTTAATTAAACAAAGTGGACACCCACCTACCTAATTTTGACACACCCCTAATCATATCTAGCTCTTCTTTTTTGCTTTCTCTCTTCACCTTTCTATGTCCATTGGCGCAAACACTTTTCCCATGTGAACAGAACTCTTTGACTCGCCGAGTTTGCTGTTTTTTTGGGCTTCAACATCATAATTTCCCTCTTCTTGCTCTTCATATTTTGCTAGTGATTCATATTCGATCTTTTTGCCATAAATTTGATGCAAAATCAAATAAAGCGATACCCCGAAAATCGTTACTCCGATTAAGTACCAGCTGAATTGGATGTTCACTAGTGATTTGGCACGCTCGAGCGCTTCATTGCCATGACATCTAACAACTTGGTGACCTTCTTCCAAGTTCATGAAGCAACCTTTAGGTATTAATTCTGGTGTCCAAAGCATAAACCCCATGGCTATGAGCCACAACCCTTGGAACAGAATACTCAGAGACCTCACAAAGCTGACCAAGAAACTGTTAGGGTACCCTATGCCAATAAGGGTGGTGAGGAGAGATAAAAAGATGACAATTTGAAGAAGCCAATGGTATCGGCCCTCAACACCCATGTGATCAGCAGAGTGGAAGTGGAAGAGGAGGAGTTGTTGGCCGAAGGCAATGGCTCCAAGCAATTGGGAAAGGCTGTATTGGGCCGGAGGCCCAATTTTGTCGAGGAGGAGAGAGAAAGCTGCATAAACAAAGAAAGTTACTGATATGTTGGAGTGCTCAAAGTTGTGGAGATGGTTGGAGGGGATGGTGCCATCGGGGTCAAACGGTTGATGTCGTTTGGGGCCAATGAAAAGCTCCATGGCTATGGACATGGAGCAACCTCCCATGATGAAGAAGAGCTCTAAGTACCTTATTTTGGAAGTGGGAAACCATGGCAAAGAGGTGTACGATTTTGGTTGGAGATAATAGAGTTTGATATGGTTAAGCAGGTGCCATAGCCCAATGACAAAGAAACCAAATCCAGGTGCTACATGCCCCACCAAAGTGCCCATGTTTTTGTGCCAACCCCTTGTGCTGCTTGGTTTTTGTGTCCTTGCAGAGAGAGAGAGAAAGTTAAAAAGGTTATGAAGTGAGCAAGGATTGGAGGATTGGGGGGCTTTTAAGAGGGAGTATGGAATTTTGAAGGTCTAGAGGCTTCGATGGGGGGTTGAAAGTTTGAACATTTTGTAAGTACATCTTTGGTGGCTTGGGGTTATAAGATAAACAATGGGTTGACTGAGACCCGTAGCTATGAGATGAGTTGGAAAACTTGTTTTCTAGAATGAAAATGGCCCAAACTAGTGGTTGATTTCCTTTGTCTACATAGCAAAACCACCCTAGCTAATTGGATTTAGAGTACCATTCTACTTGTTCAAAAAAAAAAAAATTCTACACCATTCTAACAGTAACTGCACAAAGGTTATAATTAAGGGACTCCAAATCTAATATAGCAACTTGAAGTATTGTTTGGATTTAATCTGACTCTTTGATAGCTCTATGATTTTTCCAATCGATTTTTGTGTCTTTCTTTCTTTTGATTTTTTCATTGGTGGGAAAAAAAATTAATTTTTGGAAAAGCTGACAGAAGCATATGCATCACCTTATATGAAAATGTTTTTCGAATCAAACTCTCCCAGTAAAAAAATAAGTGTTGGAAAAGCTGAGAGAGGCATATGCATCACCATCTCTGAATGGAAGATTTTGAAGCAAAATATGTCACTCGTTTAAAATGCATACTACTTTATCAATTTTTCTAGTAATCTTTTTTGTATGTAGTGATGGATTACAATTAAAAATTCATCACTCTTATAATAAAATATAGGCAAAACTTCATGGAGGCTAGTTTATTATATTTTCAAGGACATCGTCTATTATCTAAAATATTACTGCATTCTCTTATACTTATATGCCGGCTTCACTTACACTTCTTGCCGTTAATGGCTGTTTTTGGTAGTCCAAATAGTCAATATGATGTCACAAAAAATCTTCTAAAAATTCAAAATTATCCTTAGAAAACATTGTATTATCTAAAATTCCATTGAAATTCCTAATTAGATTTTGTTTGCTAATTCCATTAACATGCAATTTCGTTTTGCATGTATATACAGACTAACCCAAGTTTTATGTGTGTGCGTGTGTGTGCGCGCCTAAGAAAGAGGGTGAATTGTGCAAATTCGTACCTCTTGCATGAATAGATCTCCTTCAGACTATAAAGGGGATGTGTGATGAAACACCACGCTTCTGAAAGGGTTTATGAGACAGCATCTTAGTTTTGATCTCTCACTCACGTAGTAAAGTAGATTTACTGTTGATAAGCCCAAATCTAACTGGATCATGCCCAATAAACCAAGTAAGACCAAGTCAACTAAAAGGCGAGTCAAATCCAATTCATGAATTCGACCCAACCCAAGGTGTGAAGAGTCTAAGAAGAATTAGAATACGTGGAGAACAATTATCGGAATACTCACTCTCAATGATCAAAATAACTTTTTATGACACTTTACCTTTTTGTAGCTATTCAAAGAATTAGTAAATTTGCACTCATATCACCGCCTTAACCAAGGTTTTGTGCCTATAAATTGTAAGGATTCTCTACATGAGAAGGCACCTTTGAATACCTCTGGAGACACTCCTTAATACCTCTTGAGATCTCTCCACATTTCTTTATCCACACATAGTTTTTCTCTCTTTTAGCTATTGTACCACTCCCAGAGCTATTCATTGCCCTCTCTTCCATTCACCTTATTTTATCAATAAAGGTCTCTATGCCACCATTTCTGTTTTCTGGAGTGGAATAGATCACCCAGACCGAACCACTATATATCTGTGTGTTGATTTGATATTTACATTATTGTCATTGATTACTCTATTAATTATTCATTAATTACACTTTATCACAAATTTGACTGTTGATCTTACATAAATATATTTTGTGCATCATCAACTGTGATAATAGTTGATTGTTAAAATGAGATAATAACTGCTTGTCGGTGGTCATATAATTGTGTCAAAAACTCAATTAATTAGATATGATGTTAATGTATTGTAGTGATGTTTATTTATTGTACATGATGGACTCATTTGGCTATCGTAATAGAAATAGGTGGATTGAAAAATATAATTCAGCCTAATATAATATAGATGAATAAAAATTAAGATTAGAGTATTAGAATAATACTTAATTTTATTTAGTATTTTACAATAGATAACATAAGCGTTAGATAGTAGTTATTTAATCTAATCGATTGTTTGGTTAGTAAATTATTTTATCGTATTAATGTTGATTAATAAAAAATGTGTTCAATCAATACGTCGAAGTATTTGTTATGTAGATGACAACTTGATTTTATCAGTTATTGGTTATAATTGTAAATGTGTACGATAATACATTTAAGTGGAATTATAATACCACCTCTTCTGTTGGTATTGAAATACCTCTATAATATAAGTTTATGGTACTAAAAATATACGATAAGTGTATGATTATTATACATTTTTAAAATTAATACGGAATCAAATTTATTTACAAAATAAAATATTAGACTCGATTAAATAAAAAATAATACAATATAATATTTAATCCACTTATAATAGGTCTTCCAAACGAGCCTAATGTGTACAATACACATAAAAAAAATCTTATGAGTAAATTTGTAAAAAAAATTGTGCAAAGCCACCTTTACACATAAGGGATAAATCTTAGAACATTGGCCCTATGGGGTATACCCTTCCATTGGTTACTCAAACCCTTGAGTTATAACAAGGGTTTATTAAGTGGTGAAGTTATTATGTCAACCCATTAGATCCCAAAAATTTTGAAGTAAAAATAATAGACTTTGCATTGTTGAAGGAAATAAAGTTATTTTTTACCCTAGTTATTTGGTAGGAGTGATAAAAAAAAAAAAGTGGGAGAACTTAATTTTGTTATTGTTTGATTTGGATTTAATAAAAATGTGGGAAAATATTACCTTTAAATATATAAATGACCTTATATATATCTATATCTATTCTATACTATTTATAAATATCAGTATTTGTGAAATTTTTTTTATTTATTATTTTATCCTTAATTATTATAATAAAGTTAATTATACCCACCTTTATACTTTCATCTAATTTTTATTTTTGACTCATATTTGACTTTCAATTTGTTTTGAACTCTTTTATAAAGACTTTTAAATTCTTTTGAACTCATTTATTAGTAGTTTAATTACATACAATTTTCTATATTTATATGAAAAAAATCTTATACATTTTAAATTATTATACACATGTAATTATCATATTGAATTTCACAGTTAAATATATGTTATATTTTATTTTGTTACATACAATAATATAATAATATTATACTCAATCTAATAAATCTATTTAACAAAATAAAATTTAATAATTATATAATCTATATCTATACTACTAATAAAATTACCTTAAAATAAAAAAAAATTTAATCTCTATTTTACCTTTATAAAGGAATGCAAAGATCACTCCATCCTTTCACAAATAAATATTTAAATTATCATCATATCCTTATATATTTAAATCTCCAAATTATCTATAACATTTCTTTTAATTATATATTCTCTATGTAGAAATATCGGCTTCTATAAAAAAAATTTATTGACTATACTACTCTTAGAAAAAATATGCATCATTGTATTTGTAATAAAGTGTTCAAAAAACCGTCAAAACTCTATCAATCTAATATTACTCATCTCGTATGAAATATACAAAGTTTTCATAATCTTATAATAAAATATGAGTAATAAAATTCAAATTTGATAAATTTGCGATGATATTTTATTCAAATACAAATATAGCTAATATGTTTTATTAATTTTTGTGTATAAAAATAATTCACGTGCTATGCATGTTGTGTATTGCTATTATAATTAAATGTGCAAATGGCTAAAGGAGTCAAAGAGATATTTAAATAAATGAAAGATTATATATCCAAAGTCTTACATAATAAATTAATAATTAAATTTAACAATAACTAAAATACGGATTAATTATTTTGCACCTAATTTATTATTTAATTTAATTACACATATAATCACATTTTTTTATAAATAAGTATTGTTTAAATTTATTTACGTGCAACACACATTGTGCATTGTTAGAAAAAAATAAATGTATGGTATTCAAAAAATAATGAAGGAAAATCTGGAGGATGGAAAATAAAAAAGAAGACATTTTCTTTTGTTGGGCTAGAAGGGAAAAATAGGAGGAAATGGAAAGTACGTCAACCCATTTCATCACTATCAAGCATACCACAAGGAAAAACTAATAAATGTCTGTTAGCATGTGTAGCATAAAAATATTGAAGAGAAAGAGACCAAAAAACTCATGGACCTCATTTCAAGTTTTCCATCTTGTGTTTCCGCTGATTTTTGGGCAGATAAAAAATGGTGGGCAGAGGTGAATTCCTTTTTCACCTCAATTTTTTTCCTTTTTATTTTACTTCCTAACCAAACAAAAAATAAACAAAACTCTCTATTACCTTAATTTTCCATCCAACTTTTTTTTATTACCTAATTTTTATCACCCGGGTATTGAAATAAAATTTTGCTACTGTACCAAAGTAGAAAAACACAGATTGGTAGTAAGCTTTTATCACAAAAAAAAATGATAAACTCTACTTAAAAAGAGATAATTGAATTAAAAAAACAATAATTAAACCCCCCCAAAAAAAATACATACCTAAAAATAATAATTAAAGTCAAACCCTTTCACTCGTGCCAAACATTCTATTAAAGAACATTTGGGCCCACAGTTGTCATAGGGCATACATTGCGTTTGCGTGGTTGGTTCAATAAAGTGAATTGATTTGGATGTTTGTCTATTTTGTTCGGATCCCTCCGGTGATATTTTAATCGCAAAATAAATGAAACAATACAATGGATTTTTCAAATTAGGACCATTCTCCCTTCATTTAGTTTAGACACAATTCGAATGCATTGAGTTATTGACTTTTCTTGTCGGATTATCAAAAATGTAAGGGTAATTTAGTCATTGAAACATTTAAAATATTGCAGGATTCATTAAATGTTCCGGCATTGATAACCACTACAGTTCGGTTCTCTATTTAGACCGTTTAAAGAATAGAACCGGCTCAAAATCGTTAAAACGATCAATTTTTGTTCAAAATTGTGAACCGGTCGATTTTTTAAAACTGGACAATTCAAATTTCACTCGTTATATAAAAATATATCCCTCTTTTGGGGTCATTTTGCCCTAAATTAATTTCATTCCAACTTTGTCATCACCCCTCCTGGCGACGAATAGCTCAAGGCATGGCGACGCAGCTTCGGCGAACAACAACAACTCTATACTTGATGTTGATTTCTTCTAGATCTGAATCTTCTCCACTCAATCTCTTTCACTCAATCTATCTG